AGCGGTTCTGTACATAGAACTTTGTAGGTGCGTTCACTATTTGTTCAACATTTTTTTGTGTTTATTAATGCTTTTGCTTCATTTGCGGTGACCACCATCACTCCTGCAGGCTATGCAGTTTGCTTTATTCTTCTCTCGTCCTGTCAGACATCTAGACCTTTTACTCCAATCATGTATGCAACGGTATGCAACATCTTTGTTCATAGTAGTATTTATGAAATGTCTTCGCAGTGCTTCTGTGAGACTTGTTACCCTCTATGCCTCAACGTCTTAGATATACACGATGGCAGGTGTATGCAACAGTTTGGAATGCGAACAGTAAGGCTGAGTGTGGCTTAGCTTATCATTCATGACAATTGTAGGGCAGCGTATACTAGAGGCTAGAATGTTGTCTCTGGAAGTCACTAGCACTGGTGTCTGTACAACGTTCAATGTATTGTCTGCACATTGGAATTCATATAAGGAGCTAAGGAAGTATGTGAACAGCACGAGAGCGGTGACAGATGAAAACGAGGGAAGATGCGAAGGAGGACATAGGCTGAATGACATGTGAAGTACAGTACTGGTACAAGATGAGTTACAACCTGTCTCCCCATCACAGCACGCTCAAAGAATCAGGTCCACTTCGCTGTTTGATGCCACGACAGTTACAGTCCCATATCTCAACGGTCTCTGACAATCGACGAAATAAATGTCACCCTGTATGTTATTGTTGCCTGATTGAGGGCTTATTTCCACCTGCCACTTATGCTCTGGATTTTCTGTGCTAGCATTGAAGTACACTCGAGGCTAGTGCCAGTTCGAAGACATGAGATTGAAGTACCCCTTGAATGTCTTAGGCATGTGCACTATCGCAGGTGCGTTTGTCGTGGAAGCATGCATGTCTAACAGGCTATCTGGGGGAATCTCCGGGAATGTAACATCGAGGGCAGCATTAGTTGTCCGCACGGTGGTTGTGAATGCAGTATCTTCACCCTGCGCAAGGAGACTGACGTTGGCAGAAATATGACTGGACCACAATCAGTCCGACTGACGTTGCAAGGACAGCATGGAAATCACGTATGCATTTGTGGTCTGAATAGAGGTAACACCACGCTTACCTACGTCGCTCATCGCAACACGAACATCCACCTCTATGGGAGCATTCTGTGTCTGCAGACTCACGGAGGACACTGCATCCACCGACCCCTTTATAAAGCCGTTGGAAGTTATTATCTGTAGCGTCCCACCTTTTAAAGACTGTACGAGCACAGATATATGTTGATAACAGCAGCAAGGATGGAAAGCGAGATTACTCGCCTGCACATGAACAGGATTGTCGATGGTCCGTAGTGCAATGTGTTCGAAAAACAAGCAGTCACATAGGTCTCCAACGTTGTGAATGAATCGGGGCATATTCGTTTGGAATCGCTTGATGTGCAGCGGAGAACCTTCCAAAGGGGGGAAGATAACCTTGACCAAAAATCCCATCCGACGTGAGCTTCCACCACCATATCGTGGATAGCTCTACAGGCGAAGTCAGTTCGTATGGGGGCGACATTTCATAGTGTTAAGATATCACAGACCATCATTAGCACGGCACCATCGGATTTTGGAGCAGGGTGCAAGTGGCAGAGAGTGGCACCGTATCGTAAATCCTCCCTATCATCCATGAATGCGACGAATTCTACATGCACGTCGCGGCTTCCGCTATATTTCCGGTCATCATTAACCAGAAACTCCACAGGCCCGTGGGCATAATTCATCCAATACTCTTGTGTTACAAGGTCAAGCATATCTGCGCTAGCAGAGAGGGACATCGTGGCATTCGCAGTGTACCGATATGTTAATCCCAGGAAGCTCGCTGGTGTTGGCAAAGTTTCTGCTCCAAAATACCATGGGACACTTCGAGCACAACTGCGAGGGTAGGGATTACCAACCCGCATTGTGGGTCGCCGACTGCGTTTTTTCTAGTAATGTATTATTCTCAGTAGATACAGAAGTATTGGATTGATGAACATACCTGTCTGACAGCATGAACAATAATCGGCGGGAGAATTGCCGCGAGTAGCACGATGGTCAGTATAATGCAACCCAATAACAGATGCTTTCTTCTCCACCGAAGCATTCTCTTGCCAGATGTCTCGCTGTCCTCTTCATCTTCTGACTGCCGCAGCATGATGGCCTGGCGTAAATGCAATCGCAAAAGGATATCCGTAAAAAATAGCAGGCGAGATGGTTGAACTGGGTCAACGGCTTGGTTTTCCATGTTTGTCTGTTCTTGCTCGACGCTGGCAACCCTTTCCAGAGACTGAACAGCAGAATATTCTTCCAGGTTACCGGTATGGACGTCTGTCATAATATCTGCGCGCTGACAAGAATTGAGGGACAGAATAGACTGGCAGGGGAACTTATATGACCCTGGAAGGTGTCGAGGCTTTTATGCTACTACAAATTGCTGCGCAGATCAGGAAGTTTGAACCAGATGGATTCCCTTGCTACTGCGCCATGGGATGACCTCGATGCTCGGGATACACCTGACAGACTGCGGATTCCCTTGCTTGATCTCATCCCATCTCCGATGCTGTTATCATGCTCTTAGCTATATTACGACCTTCTGCATCAACTGTAAGCAGGAGTCATATTTGTTCTTCAAGCGCAAAGGCATACTAGAATAGGCAGCGAGAAGGTGGAAACACGCGTATATCACCAAACTCTATCATCCTGAGGATATTTGCAGGTCAAGAGAGCAATGACTGATGCCTGCATATCTGTACCTGTTCGACTGCCTCTATGCGGCATGTGAAAGTCTGCATTAGATTCAGTATGAGCGGACAAGAAATAAGGAAGGATAAATAAAATACTGGTTCAGGAGTCTGGTCCAAACCAGTTGGACTTGCATTTCATTAACATCATGGCCGAGAAGTACAAGAAGAGGGAAGAGTACTTTGAAATGCATATAAGAACTCCGTGCATGTCCTTGATAATCTCGGACCATTCAATCCCAGTGGAAAATGACTTGATTTAATCGAGAAACTGGGTCACTCGATGGGAATTGGTGTTGAAAATGTGTGAATAAAGCTGAATTATGTAATTCATGCCAATTTGGTCTGTCTCATTTCTTTTATTGGATGAGTACAGTATCTCATTCTGACTCATGTCAATTCTCACTGGGATTCAGTAGCCGATGCGAGATTAGTGGAATAAAACATCAACGGAAGGGACTCCTCTTTGCTTCTAGACGAAAACCGTCACCATAACATTGATTTTGAAGCTTTGCTTTGATGTCCAGATTGCAATCGTACAGATGCGTTGTGTCAAACGCGATATCAAGTGCATCTCCTGCTGTCTTCGGCCATAAGAATTGTAGCTGTCAGTACAGTATATAATGATACCGGTGTATCCGTAGGTCATAGCGACCTGGCCTGCAGCGGTGCTGTTGCTTATCCATACAAGGTTTCCGCCAAAGTGCATGGCATGGCCGCGCTTTGGTGTGCCTGTTCTCAGGCTTGTCCTTCCAAGACTTGTTGTGACAATGTGGATACGGACATAGTTGAACTGAGAAGATGAAGGACAAGGCCAAGCGCACCCACGGCATCAAGAGAACATCATTTCTGGCCTCACCTAATGAAGGCTTGAGGTAAGCTCAAGTGTGTCGATAACGAGGTCGGACAGAGGATTCAGACGTCCTCATTGCAGAGAGGGCTGCATCATCCCAGAGAAGACGACCCCAGAGCCGCTTGGTGACCGAGAGTTTCGGGCTCAAATACCGCGCCGATGAGGTAGCCATACAGATTATGGGACGATCCCAAATGTTAGCCTGCCCCGGCGTTCATGGGGGACACAGACAACCAGGCGCCGATATTATAATCTTAGGGTCTGACGGCAAAGAGTGTGTATCGCTCCAACAATATTCAAGTGGTTAGAATCGTTGCACTCTGCATGTATCTCCAGGTACATCAGAGTATAAACCGTTTTTTAACAAATAAAAAAGTCATACCGCACAAAGGGTACACAGGCCAACCTTGCCACTTTGGGACACAATCTCCATCACACTATGGGGTTAAAACAATTGGTTTACAGCTCAGTGCTACAGCAGAGTATCTGTTGATAACAGTGCCGTTTTATCGAATTTGATATCCGCATTAGAATTTAGAAATACTGATAGTCCTACGCCGCTAGTGAGTTCGTGGCTGCAACCGTCTGAAGCAGCGGTGGGGGCATATGTTCAGGATGCCATTAGTAGCTCTGTCCGCCTCCCTCTCCTGGGCAATTAATGGGTGTACATTCCCGGTCGAAAGCTCTCCCTGCCCCCCGCGCTAGAGTTTGGTCAGTACCTTCACGTGGAGAACGATGCCAACCAACGCGCGCTCATCCATCTCCTGTGTGACAACCACCCCCTGTGTCACAGAATTTCATGGCGTCTATCTTATCTACAGCGCTTAGATG